TATGAGCAGATGTTATAATTTGGATCCAAAATGTCCCCCAAAGACTGGTGTGTCTCCAGCTTGGTCCTCCTGGGAGGTGGTGGAAACTTTAAGGGGTGGGACCCAGCGAGAGGTCTTCAGATCACTGTGTGGATACCCTCGGAAGGGATGTGGGGCCTCATTCCCTCCTTTCTTTCTCGTGTCCCAGCTCTGAGGCGAGCAGTCTGGCCATGGCTGCTACCATGACGTGCTGCCTCACCACAGGCCGTAGGGATGGGGCCAATTGATCAAGGACTGAAGCCTCCAAAACTGTGAGCTGAAACAAACCTTTCCTCTTTGGACATGGATTTCTCTCAGTTATGTGTTACAGTAACAGAAAGCTAGCTAGCACAGCATGGTTGGTTCCTTCTGGGCTGTAAGGGGAAGGGTCTCTTGTTTGTGTCTCTCCTTGGCTTGTAGATGCCACCTTCTCTCTGACATATCTTTCATGAAGTGGAAAGTTTTGAAGAGTAACAATCAGGCATTGCATTGACACTTTATTGCCCTTGTAAAGACCTCATTGCCAAGCATGGTCACATTCTGAGGTACTAAGAGGTTAGGACGTCAACCCATGATTTTTTTTTTTTTTTTTTTTTTTTTTTGCAGTTGAACCCAGGGAGCTCTACCACTGAATAACATTCTAAGCCCTATTTGAATTTTGAGATAAAGTCTTGCTAAGTTCCCCAGGTGGGTCTCAAACTTGTGATCCTGCTGCTTCAGCCTCCAGAGTTTCTGGGATTCCAAGTGTGAACCACCATGCCCAGCAACATAGGCATTGGGTTGGAGGCACTGTTCAGCCCATAACAATCACTTTGTCTTCTTGATCGCCTCCAGACTGTGACAGGTTCCTGCTGCTGTGATTTAGTGATTGGTTTGAGTGTGTCCCCTGAAGTTCATTGGTGGGAAGCTTGGTCTCATCTTTGTGATGTAGTGTGAGACGTGATGGGACCTTTAAGGGGTGGGGCTTAATGGGAGGTGGTTAGGTTTGGGGGCATCATTTTTTGCAAAGGATTAATGCCAATGTCATGAAGTGAGATAGTTCTCTGGAAAGTGAATTTTTATCAAAAGAGGAAGCCTGATTAAGTATTATAATGCAAAAAAGAAAGTACATGTAGAAAGGCATAAATTGGCATGACCAAACTTTATATATGGAGACATGAAAAATTGTACTCTATATATGTAATAAGATTGTAATGAATTCCACTGCTGTTGTGTATCTTTAAAAATAATAAAATCATTAAAAGATAAAAAATAAAAAGAGAGAAAGCCTGGCCCTTCCGTATTCTCTGGTTTCCTGTCTCATACATGATCTCCTTTTCTGCTTTCTCCACGACGCCATCTGCCATGTTGTATCACAGCCAAGAGGGTCCTGGACAAGAAGCTGAACTGATGGGGTTGCATGGCCTTGGACTGTCAGCCCCCAAATTGAGCTAAACAAACTGTTTTTCTTCATGAAGTTCCCAACCTCAGCTATTTTATTATAGGAACAGAAAATGGATGGATACACCTGTCTTCTTCTCTTGTCTTTCATGAAGTGGAAAGTTTTGAAGAGTAACAATGAGGCATTTTGCATTGAATGGTCTTTGCTTTGAACTTTCATGATTAGATTGAGGATATGGGTTTAGGGGGGAATGTACCACAAAGGTAATGTGCCCTTCTTTCACACGATATTGGTGGGTCCGGTGGGGAAATACATGATGTCCACATGATCATGACTTGTCACTGGTGATCTTAGTTAAGGTGGTAAATGCCAGGTTTCTCCATAATAGAGTCTCTATTCACCCCCACACACCTGTTCCATGCTGTTTGATGCATCTTCAATGGTACTGATATTGTTCCTGAAGGAGAAAATCTGGTTCTTTGGAGGATAAATACAGAAAGATATATGTGTCTACAGGTATCTATCCATACCTGTATCTATCAGATATCACCGTGACTTGGGGACCTACAAAACTTGTCCTTCTCCAACAAAACCAAAATCTTTGATATTTTATTTAGAGCAACAATTAAGGAAAATGTCTCTAAAAGTCATTTGATGCTGCTCTCTTCCTTGAAAGTGAGTCACCATGTCCAGCTGCCCTCACAGGGAGAACTGATTTCCAAGAAGGAGTAGATGTGTGAACATGTGTTAAGACCACAGTGGTCGTTAATAAGCATTGAGGGAAACGAGTTCACTGAGGTGGTGCAAATGTCCTGTTTCTTGTAACATTCTCCCCCATTAATTAGAACATCTGTCTCGAGATCTTTCTACAGCAATTATTGATGAGATATCCTAAGGATAATCCCACATTTCCTTTCTTCTTTATTTCATTTATTAATTGAAATCATTCTGTAAGAAAGAACAGATTTTCAAAAATGGACTTTAGTATTTAGATTCACAGCAAAAGTATAGATTTACAGCGAAATTACGTAGAGGGTGGGGGGATTTCCCATTCACTTCCCACCCCCACAAAAGCACAGCCTCCTCCATTGTCAAAGCCCCCACCAGGCCTAGGTTCTTTTGCAGCAGGTGGAACAATGTGCACATGTTATCGCCACTCAAAGTCCGCAGTTTGCATTTGGGCTCACTTGTGCTGTGTGTTTTATAGGTTTGGACAATCCTGTGGGGGACGTCTCCACCAGTGCAGTATCACAGAGAAGATTCAGAGTCCCAACAATTCCCTGTGCTCCATTTATTCACAAATAGATTTTCAAAGTTCTATAGAGTATTGCAGGTAGAGTTTGAAGCCAACGTGGCAAGTGGATTATTTGGAATATCATAAAGAACAGGGAGAAGACCTTTTTGAGATCAGAACATGGGGAAGGAGGGCACTGAGTTTTTCACTGGAGAGATTGACATGTTTTGGTCCCACGGGCACGGATGGCTTACTCAAAAGATCAATTAAAACCTAAAGAGCTATAGTCATTTAAAGATCATCTAAAAGAGAAATCGCACAAGAGAAGAAAAAAAGTATTTTAATGGAGAAGAAGCACGTCGGGCAGATACCAAGATGTATTGTAGGCTTGGTCCAGGTTTCTCCAGAAACAGAGCCTGAGCCAAGTATTTGGATATCCACAGTTTAGCTGGGAGGTGATTCCAAGAGAAGCAGTAGAGGAGGGGGAAGAAAAGAGGGACAGGGAGGGGAAGGAAGGAGGGGAACAGACACAGGGGAGGTTGACAGGCATATGACTGACGTGGGCAGCTGGGACTCAGCCCCTTGTGCCTCTGGGAGGTGTATGGAGAGAGCCTCTGAGTTAGCCCCACTGTTGAAGGTCGATTTACTGAGATAGGATTCAGCCTTCGAGTTATTTATGAAGGGACATCCTTGCGGTCAGTCCCAGCAGGAGGAAGGGGAAGTCTATGGAGTTACTTTTACACCAAGTCGTTTTCCACTTCTCACTACAGCTTCCTGGAGCTGGATTACACAAGTTAGAAATCTCAGTTCCACAAGACGAGCCCAGATGTCTTCTGCAAGAGGGGTGCCTAGGGGAGCCACGCTTCAGCCAGGCCAACCATGAATCAGGGGCTCCCAGAACCCACTCCCAGTTTTCCAGATGGCTCACAGAAAAATACATGCTTGCATTCACTGGGTTGTTATAAAGAACACAACTCAGCCAGATGGAAGAGATGCCCGGATGGAGGGAAAGCGTGCGGCGGTGGGACGCTCTCTCCTAGTGGGCAGCACCTCGGACCCTCTCCTGCTCACCAGCCTGATACTCACCAAACCCCACCGTTACCAGACTTTTCATACAGCTCAATCTCTGCCCCTGCTTGGGGGACTCTGGCACTCTGGGCCACTATACACCTCCCCAGGGCTAAGTACCAGGCACCTCCAGCCCAGAGCCCACTGAAAAGACTCAAGCTAGCCATGCTTACGCGAGCTTCTTAAACTCTGCCTCATTTAATTGGTGCATGGGGCTGGAAGTTCCAACCCTCTAAAATCCTCCGATTACCCTGGTGACCCCTCCCATGTGGAGGCATCCAAGTCCTACCATCAAACACCTCATTAGCCTGAATTCAAGTGGGCGCCCAGAGGCTCACTAGGAATTTTAAAAAGCCAACCCTGCCACTCAGGACCAAAAAGATATTTTTATTATGCCATTGGAAGGGAATAGGAGCAGGGAGGGGGACAGTCCAGCAGAAGAGGTCTGACAGCAGCCACAGAGGACTCCATGGGAGCTCTGGAACCTGCATGGTCCTTCAGGGGTGCCCCATGTGGACCCAACGTGGACAGATCTTCACGGGCCTGTACCCATCTGGGCTGCGCCAGGAAGGATCCCGGCCTTGGAGAAGGCAGCTCCCTGCAGTAGGGTCTAGACTGGAAGAGGCTGAGAGGTGTCAGCTGCCTCCAAGGAACTCCCAGCAGCGGGCCAGCGTGTCCCTCCCTGAAGAGAGCTGGCAGGCCTACTTCAGGGTCCACCAGGGTCACCCAGGGAGGCAGGGCTGGGTGTTCATGCTGCAGCTCCTGACAGTCCTTGATTGACTGGGGGAATGAATTCCTTCATGCTTCCAGCCTCCAGGGTGAGCTACGGCAACCAGGACAGGGCCCTGGGCAAACGGGTTGCAGGGGAGGGTCATGGAAGTTGAGCAGATGGAGGAAAGTCATGCCGAGGTGGGATAGGCCCCGGCGGACATGGCAGCAGCTACACATGGTCATGCAAACCCTCTGGTCTCAGCAGGGAAGACGGAGTAGATTAGTGGAACACACCCAGCCCACACCTGTGAGAATGGGCCCCACTCCTGGGCACTGGATGGAACTGCAAAGGTGAGACACAACCACCCCTTAAAGCCAGGAGCAACCTAGAGGCCCAGGAGGGAGGGCCCGTGTCACCCCACGTGGGCTCAGCCCCACAGGGATTGAGGCATCCCAGAGAAGAGTCCCAGAGCTTGTATTAAAACCTCGATGTCCATAGGCAGGGGAAGGGCTTGGCATAAACCTGGGTGGAGTTCTGAGACCTGCAGGGCTTTTCAGGAGGCAGGCGTGGCGCGGAGGAACCAGCAGTCACTCCGTGGAGCAGGAAGCTGCAAATCTTTTGCACACCCAGAATTTCTTGTAATCACATTTGGAGTCCTTCCAGCCACTGCTTCGCACTTCCACGCAGTCCTGTCCGCCACGGTTGTTGGGCTGCCCTGGCATCCAGTATCTCGTGAGGCTGCAAAACCATCCACGTGGTGAGCCTCCACCCAGCCCCCTCCGTGCGCTGTCTCTGCTCCAGGACATGTGATGCTCTCACATCTGTCCTACAAGCCTGTGGCAGACAAGCCTTGTTCCGGACACCCAGTGACACGCCTGAGTCACTCGACCTTGGACCCTGCCCCTTGTTGGCCCCCATGAGAGGAATCCTCCTGCTAAGGGTGTGACTGTCACATGCAACCAACCAGCCTAGACTTCACACCCCAGCCACCTTGCTTGGGGGACTCTGGGCCACTATACACCTCCCCAGGGCTACGTACCAGGCATCTAGGGCCAGCACCTCCAGCCCAGAGCCCACTGAAAAGACTCAAGCTAGCCATTCTTACGCGAGCTTCTTAAACTCTGCCTCATTGAATCCTTCCGTGGACACCACAATGCAGGCCCTCGCCCACGGCGCCTCCACCCGCTGCCCAGCCCTGCCCTTCCCCAGGGGGCTGCCATGGATTGAAGTTGGCTCCTTCTTTTGAGATCCACGAGAATCTCAAGCTATCTTTTCAGTGGAATTGTCTTCTTGTGCCCTTGGTCTTGCTATCCCTCAGATTTTCTAGTAACACTCTCCGTTTTCAGTCACCCACCCAGGCTCCCAGCTCCTCCTGCAGCTCTGGTGGTGGAATTTCACCCAGTGGCCCTCTCCCGGCACAGGAGGATGAAGACCAGCTTCCTCAACTCAGTGAGTGTCACAGACTCTCAGGCCTAGGGGCCAGGGAGTGGGAACCCCAGGTGTAGCCCAAGCCAGAGCTTCAGAGCATCACCCTGCTCTCTAGGGAGTGCCCTTCGCCCAGGACCTACTTGAGTGACAGAGGAGAGCCATCCACCCAGTACCATGCGCCTTCCTTATTCAGGTCCGAGAGCCCCAGCCAGGCAGAGCCTTGGATGTCAGAAGTCTGCTGCAGGAAGCTCTGGAGGGGGGAGGAGGAGTCAGGAGGAAGCTCTGGGCTTATTTAGCAGCTTGTGATTCCCCAGTCTCTCGGTGGCAAGTTCTGCTTGCAGTCTGGCCTCCAGTCTTCTAACATATGGAAGCCACGAACCCCCTCGTGTGTTCAGGAGATTGGGTCCTCCCTCATCTGTAGGCCATGGGCAGATGTGTTTTGGATGCACACTCGATGTGCAGCTGGCTCGCCTCTCACACCCTAGCTACATGTTCTGAGCACGTTTACATGAATGCATTCATGACGGGGTTAAAGTCTAGGGTCAGACCGTCCCTGCTCATGACAGCTGGTCACGCGCATCACCTCTTTTCAAATCTGCATTGAATGACGGCCCATTGGTAGCTTGAAATCAGTCGTGATGGAATATCTACATGGGGAAAGTCGGCAAGTGTAACTCATGAGCACGGCACTTCTGCCAGAGAGCAAGTTGTCACCCCTGGTCAGCGCACCAGTGGGGGCACTGAACATCCTTGTTGCTCCTCAAGCATTCACCCTTGACCAGATTTTGTGTGTCCCCTGCGAGCTGCCTGGGACCCCCTGTCCATGCCCGTCTCCTCCCTTCCACTGGAGGAAGCAGCCCCTGCTTCAAAAACCCTGTTCTGACCAACGTCTCCTCCCAGGTGGCCAGTGGCCAGATGCCTGCCCAGACCAGGATGGGGCCCACCATGCACCTGCTCCTCAGCGCTTTTGATGACGACTAGTTGGGCCCTCATTTCCTGGCAGGCGGTGACGGAGTCGTGCCAGTTCCGCTGGGACTTGGAGAAGAAGTAACAGTTTCCTTGGAAGAACGTCCAGTCCCAGGGGCAGGGGCGGCACAGGCGGTCTGTTGGGGGAGAGGGTCAGGCTTGACCCTTGCTGGGAGGCCATGTTCCCATGTCTGCCCACCTTCAAGCCCTGGAGAGTTAGGGACCTTGTATGACCCTGCAACTGGGTGACTGTCCCCTCCCTGGACCCCTGGCACCCAGGAGCCCCCAGGAGTCCTGGTCCCATCTCCTCCAGCCTGGGACAAGCAGGGGCTCCAGAGCCCAGGAGACTGGCCTGAGTGCCTACTGTGGGCACGGCCATCTGTGAGCACCAAGTGCCACTGTCACTGTTATCCTGTGTTCCCATTTCACAGATGAGGAAGCAGGTTCAGAGAGGGCTGGTTATTTAAGCAAAGCCTCACAGCACAGACCCTCTGAGGCCCCCAAGAGACGCGGTGTCTGGTCACTCACCAACTGCTGCCTTCAGCAGGGTCAGTTCCTGGTACACCTTCTCCTGCTTCACTAGCTCCTGCTCCTGTTCCTGGGAGCTGGGGACCTTGGAGGCTGTGCCAAGAGAAAATAAGCTACAACTGTTGAACACCTACTGTTTGGTCATCATTTCTGAGAGCCAAGGTGTTGTTTAGTTCTGATTGAAGACGAAGAAAAGTGGCATCCAGAGTAGGCTGAAGCACAAGGTGCATGGAGCCGGGACCCTCGCAGGTCCTCCTCCCCCTCCCCTGCACTGATGTGGGGGGTGGGGGCAGGCAATCCCCAGGGAAGCTGCTGAAGGACCCCATGCCAGCTTCGACCCCATGTCCATCCGGGACCTGGCTGCCCCAGTCTAGGGCCCAGATACGGGATCCCCACCCTAAGGCCTGCCCTGACCTTGGACAAGGGCAGCCACCAGGATCCCAGCTAAGACCGTGAGGCAGAGCAGCTGCAGGACCAGGGGGACGTGGCCATGGCCCAGGCACCCTAGGAAGAGAAGGAAGAGGTATTCCAGCGTCCAGCGCCCTGCCTCAGCCTGGCCACAGCCTGCGCCTCCCTGGGGTACAGGACTCCAGAGGATCAACCTCTGCCTGCCAGGATGCAGGAGTGGACACCAGCCTGTGTGCGTGGCTAAAGTCCTTGTCCCAGATTCCACTCCTTTAGGTCCCACTGTCCAGGGTCCTAATCTTACTATCCCAGAACCGAGTGCCGGGGGACCGTCCACCTCTTGGTCCCATCCCAGCTCTACCTGCCAAGCTATTGAATGCAGAAGTCAGTTGGAATCCTGAGCCTTCTGCCGAAGACCTGGTGCCGCTGGCCATCAGCAGCCCCTTCTCTGAGTTGAAAGCGCGTCAGTCAGAGCCTGGGCAGGCTGGGGCCCGAGCTGGCCCCTTACACCCCACTCCCAACTCCCAGACTCCCAGCCCAGCCTCACCCAGAGGACCCAGCTGCTGCACCCTGGCTTCCTTGAAGTCACTCATGATCACCGCTGTCCCTTAGTGCCCAGGGCTGATGACACCACAGCCTTTATTCCCACCCCCTGAATTTACTGTACGTCAAGAAGAGAAACAGGGAACTGGGTAGGACACAGGAAGAGGGCAGAGGGAGGGGGCCAAGCCTGGGACACACCAGGACAGGGGCTCACATTCCAGGATCTCAGGGAGCGGCTGTGTGGCCTGCCTCCAGAGCAGGAGAACCGGTCCACTCTCGGGACGGCTAAGCTGTGGATGTTCTTAACAAAACCCACATCTTGTCAAGCTCCATATTTACCCCTTCTTCACCCATGGTGAGAGTGGGCAGCGAGGCCTCCCGTCCTCCCTGAAACATGCCCCCTCCGGCCCCAGGCATTGCTGCCTTGGTTTGCTGATGTCCTCATTTAGGGTGCTTTCTGTTGACTTGGGACTTGGGCTGAATCATCATTGCTTCTGCTTCTGTGTGTGTGTGTGTGTGTGTGTGTGTGTGTGTGTGTGTATTTAATGCATGAACTTCATCAGAAAATCCATTATCATACTGCTTTAAAAATTTAAAGTAAAAAACCCACGTAAGTGCTTGAATAGATTGGAAAAAAAAATAGGTAAAACACAACACGATTCCTGATTGAAACTTTTAAAAATACTTTTATTGATTGATTGGTTTCATGGGGTGCTGAGGATTGAACCCAGGGTCTCACACATGTGAGGCAAGCACTCTGCCACTGAGCCACAATCCCAGGCCCTGACTGATACTTTAAAAATTCTTCGGCAACTAGAAACAGAAATGAAATGTCCCTAATGTGATGGTGGTGTCCATCAACCCCCCACAGCAAGACTCATGGGAAATGTCAGGAGCACTCTCACTGAACCCAGGCGGAAGCCAGTGTGGTGGTGCACATCGGAATCCCTGCTGCTCAGGAAACTGAGGCAGGAGGATGGCAAGTTCAGCCTGGGCAACATGGTGAGACCCTGCCTCAAAATAAAATTTAAAAGGGTGTCATTCAGTGGTGGAGTGCTTGGTTAGTATGCACAGGACCTGGGCTCAGTCCCAAGTAACACACGCGCACGCACACACACACACACGCACACACGCACACATCAGGAAAAAGAATGAAAAGAAAAACATCCAGAGATCACACAGAACTCCTAAAACTCAACAAGAAGAACACACTGAGGTGTTTTTTTTTTTAAATATTTTTTAGTTGTTGATGGACCTTTATTTTATTTATTTGTAGGTGGTGCTGAGAATCGAACCCAGTGCCTCCCACATGCTAGGCAAGCACACTACCACCCAGCCACGGTCCCAGCCCCCACACTGAGTTTTGACATAGGCAAAAGTGCATCTTAACAACAGAAAAACACATCCCCGATTATGAAAAGGACAGAGCACCCAAGTAGACACCCAGGTGGCCAAGGGCACATGAAGAGGTGAGAACCACCCAAGAGTAGCCAAATAGCCAATGGTCCAAGGGTGCAGGGAGATGGGAATCCTTGGTCATCATTGGCCAGAACATGGAACAGAGCAGGGCCATGCTTCAAAACACCACTGAAGGAGTTTCCATGTGGCCCGATGATGCCATTTCTGGGAATATGACCAAAAGGATCCAAAGCGAGGATTCAAAGAGATAATTGTACAGTTGTGTTCGTCAGAGAGGCATCTGCTTCAGCAAAAAGGTGGAAGGAACCCACCCGTCCAATGAACCCACCAGAAATGGATGACCAGAAGCCGTCTACTCACAAAGCAGTGGACTATCACTCAGCCTTCAAAAAGAAAGGCCATTCTGATGACGCCACCTGTGAGCAGCGGGGACCTGCTGCGAGGTGGAAAAGACCAGTGCACAAAGACAAATGCTAGGATCCTTTCTTTGAGGGATGATGAAACCAGGTAACGGAGTGGTTATTCCTGCCGTTCCTGTGACCCTGGACGGCCTCAGCCTCCCAAGCCACCGGGATCACAGGTGTGCGTCGCCGCGCCCGGCTGCAAATGTTCTCACTGCCACTGAATTGTCCACTTTAAAAACTCTGTAGATGGAAAATGCTATATCGTTTGGATTTTACCACGATTAAAATGACACTTTTGAAGGACAAAAAAATTTCCCTTTCCCTACCTTAAAAGGAAATGAACTAAATTCCTTTTTCTCTTTCATTTCTGCTTTCCTTGGAATTTCCTGGTCTATACAACCAAACTTTTTACTCTGGTTCTTTTGTATGTTTGTTTTGTTTGGATTTTTTTTTTTTTGTACTGTCAACTTAACCCGGGGGTGCTCAACCACTGAGCCTCATCCCCAGCCCTTTTTTATTTTTTTATTTTGAGACAATGTCTTGCTACATTGCTTAGGAACTTTCCAAGTTGCTGAGGCTGGTCTTGAACTTGCAATCCTCCTACCTTTACTTCCTGAGCTGCTGGGATTACAGGCGTGTTCCTCTGTGCTTGGCTTTTTACTCCAAAGATTGGAAATTTCACCCCGTTTTCATAGAATGACAGGTGGCCCCACTCTAAAACTGACCACAAAACCTATGGAGATCAACTCCGCTGTTATCATGTTGTTCTTTGGCCGGGGAACTAGCCTTCCAGTAATAGCAAGAAACCAACACAAGAGAAGCCAAATGCCAAAAGCCAGGATAAGGAACAAAACGGCACAGGTAAGAACAGAGAGCAATGCGAGTTGATCATGGAGGGACATTGGGTCGACACTAGGGCACAGGAAGCCCGGGGTGGGGGGAAGGACAGTGAGGGACAGCGGGAGACGGGCCAGTGAGAAATGAAGGACGGAGACAGGCAGAGACCCGCACCAAGGTTTATTTGTCACAGATGACAAATAGAGGCCATCCCTCTCCAGAGAGGAGAGAGGCCCCGAGATGTTCGGGGTTCAGCTTTTGTGGGGTCGGGCTTTGGAGCTGGAGCTGTGGCGCTGTGGGACAGGCTGGGGACGTCAGAGCTGGGCGGTGGGAATTTTTTAGGTCGATGGCACCTGGGGCTCTCCAGAGCCAAGGGGTCGTGTCCTAACTTCAAGTGCACCTGTGCAGCTGAATACGGTACATGGGGTAGGTCACTAACAGGGCGGGGGGGTCGGGTAAGAGGAAGTACAGGAAGCAAACTTATCTCATAAGGTGGCGGTTAACATGGAAGCTGGCTGCTCAGATGTTAAGTCAAGACCCTGTGGGGTGGTTATTTTCCACCAGCGGTCCTCCAGCTCTGGCACCAGCTACCAGGGGCAGCAGCGGATTCCACCAGGTCTGGGCTTCCTCCCACAATACTGACTTCCTGCAGGTGTCTGCCGCGTGCAGGGGCTGACCCTGCTTTATCAGGCCAACCACAAAGTTTGGGTTCTTCCAACACCCTCACGTTTGGTAATTTTCCAGGTGGCTCAGAAAAAAAAAATGTTGCTTATATTTTCTGGTTTATTATAAGAGATAGAATTCAGATGCAGACAAAGGGAAATGGTGTATACAGTAGGGGAAAGAGGGAGGAGTGGTGTGGGGCTTCCTGTCCCCAAGAGGGCCGCCTGCAGCTCCTCCCTGCCCTCACCAGCCTGGTCTGACCCGAGTCTCCTTGCTACAAGAGTCCTCCCAGAGCTCAAGGGCCAATACCCCCCCCCCCCCCCCCGGCTCCCCGGAGCTGAGCCGATGGGGCTCCAAGTTCCAACCTGCTAATCATCCATGTGGACTTTCTGGTGACCAGCCTTGTGACAAGGTTGCCAAGCCACACCCTAACTCGGCTCACTGACCTAAATTCAAGTGCACCTGTTGTCAGATCAGGCGAGGCGGGCAGCAATCAAAGGAGGCAGATTTAAAAGGGCGAGGCTTTATTGAGATATCACTCCCGGGCAGAACTCGATCAGACCCACAGAGGGGACAGGAGAAGGGTCTGAGGAGAAACTGTGTGGGAGCTCGACCAGACTGGACTTTTATGGGGCTTACAGCAGGAAGGGAAGGGCTTGGGACAGGAAAAGGTGTTTTTAGGGTCCCTTGTCCCTTGGAGTTGGTCGGGGGAGTTGGCTGAACTCCAGGATTGGCCAGGGGGTCCTGCTGATTGACAGGCCTTAGTCAGGAGATCTCGCTGATTGACAGGCGCTTCCTCCGGCACCTGATTGATGTTCCTTTCCCGCCCGGGCTGCTTTGTTCTAAGTAAGTTGCCACCAAGTGGCCACCACCACCGACCTAACACCTGTGCAGCTGAATACGAACAACAAAAGGCACCTCCTCATTCACAACCACAGCCAGAGGGAGCCCGTAGGCACAGGAGGGAGGGAGGCCATGGCCTAGCCTCTCTGGGGACGAGAAATCTCCTAGAAGAGACCCAGAGCTGGAGTTGAGATCTCCGTGCCTACACCCAGAGAGGAGAGGGCTGGCAGAAATGAGAGTGAAGTTCGGTCACCTGGCGAGGAGGTTGGAGCTGCTAGGGCAGCAGAGAGGGACTGGCTGTCACTCGTGGGAGCAGGAAAGTGCAGATTTTTTGCAGACCCAGAATTTGCTGATATCACATTTGGCGTCATTCCAGCCGTCGCCATCAAATTCCGCGCAGTCTTCCTGTCCCAAGTTGTTGGGCTCCGTTGGGTTCCAGTACTTCATGAATCTGCAAAGCCACCCGCATCATGAGCCTCTGCCCAGCCCCCTCTGTGAGCTGTGTTCTGGCTTCTGGAAACCATCTGCCCTGCACGCACATGCATGCAAGCCTTGCTCAGGATGCCTAATGACATGCCCTGTCCCTTGTCGTCCCCCATGCTTAAAAGGAGCCCCCCCCCAAATCAGGGTGGGACCTTCAGACACAATCCAACCAGCATCCTAAACTCCACACCCCAGACACCTTGCTTAGTGGGCTCTTTCCCTTTTTCTGCACCCTCTGCCTCCCAACAGGCCCCCACATCCTCCCCACGTGTCCCCTGTGGTGTGAGGGACAGGGACACTCCCTCTCTTGGGACCTGGGAGTATAACAATCTGTCTCTTCCCCAGAAATGGTGCCCTGTGATTTTGCCTGTGTTGCGCCAGGCTGGAAGCTGCTCCTGCAG